GGGAGGCTCGGCGGTCCGCGGCCGCTCGCGGGTCTGCCGGGCTCACCCTTTCCGCGCTGCCCCGATCGGGCCCGGGAGGCGTGCGATCGCGGGAGAAGTCGGGAGAGGATTCTGGTAGCATCAGGTAGCGACGGGCTCCGCCGCGGCACGCGGCGGCGGCGGGCAGTTCAGGTGCGCGGCCGCCCCCGCTCCGTCCCCCGACGTCCTTTCGGCGGGCGACGACCCTGCCCCTCCGCGCGGCTCCCCGCCGGCTTTTGCCTGGGGCCGGGGGGTGGGGGGTGGCGGCGCGTCCCGCGGCGCTGGGACACGGTGGGTGTCGTGCGCCGGCTTTTCTGGGCCAGACCGAGCTGTGGATTTCGTTTTAAATGTCTTGCTTCCCGTACATCTTTCTTTAGTTTTGTGTGTTTGAAGGGAAGAAGGGACACGAGGAAATCAGGGGGAAGTCTGATCCTCAACAAAAGAAGAATCGTGTAAGGGGGAAGAGAGCCGGATAGGTGGTAGTCGCTGCGCGCTGCCGGTGTTGCCTGACTTGCTGTGTTCTTTTCTTTTTTAATTGCACTCCTCTATTCTTTAATCCAGATTGCATCTCTTTTAGAATATACTTTTTAGTTTTGCACCTTGGGCCCAGTGGTTGAAAACGTAAATGGTAAATAGTAGCGCTTAATGCAACGATTTCAAGAAAGAAAGCATTCTTTCTAGTACCACGGTTTAGAAATTCTTTCATGACGTTTTGGGAGGAGGTCAAAAGTTCAAACGCTAAAACACTGTAAAGCCGCCTTTTTCGTTGCCCACTGTCGCTGTACTGCTTTCCTCTGACGGATTAGTTTATACCTGCTCCTGGGTCTTCCTGTATGCCTATCGCAAATCCATAGCATTTTTTATTTAGTGGTATTTTGTCTGTTTTTGTAGAGCAGAAATCTTTACAAAGCTTCCTTTGAATTGAGTGGACAAAAAACCCAGGAAGGCTTGCATCTTGTGTGTTTTGTAACCCGTGCTAAATTTCAAAAGGTGCTTTAATTTTTTTTTCTTTAGCAAAAAACCGTAGTGGACTACCTGTAATGAAGCTGCCTTAGTAAAGGGGCCAAGGTTAATGCCTCTGAGACTTGATCTGCTCTTGGATGTAGGGCTGCAGCAGGTCAGGAAGTAGGAGTATATGCAGTTATTTTTATGCCCTGTGTAGATGACAGCGTTTTAATGGTTTTCTTTTAAACTCGACTTCATTCTTAGTTTTCCCTTTTCATTTTTGAAAATCCCAAACATACAAAGGTAACATAATTCAAAAATCTTATATTGAATTCCCATGTACCCATCATCCAACTTTGAAATATATTAGGACATGGCCAATCGTATTTTGCCTCCACCCCTGTTCCCCACCTAATGCCATTTTGAAATCCCAGACATTGTATCAATAGCATTTGATTGGTAAATATTTCAGTTCACTTTTTTTTTTTCATTTCAGCAGAATTTGTAAACTCATAGGAATTGGGGATCTGTTCTATTAACCAAAGAGAAATATTTTGGCAATTTGAAAGCTTCCAAATTGCTGTCGTTGATTGACCTTTGTCCTGACCTGGCTGGGTAGCCTGAGTGGTCTTAAGCTGACTGGGGGTTGGAGGGGGGTTAGCCGCTGCATTGCTCAGCTCTGCTGGGGCACTCAGTACCATGATGGGGAGCATCAGGTAAAGGAGCAGAGTGAGGTCTGCTGGGATCCAAGTGGTCACTTTCTTTTGAGCTGCTTTGGGGCTTCAGAATTTCTGCTGGAATTCCAGTTGCATTTCAGTAATGACCGTAAAAATGCTGAATTGTTGGGAGAGAGTTTATCTGCTCTAAGAATTCTCTGTGGGAGCCTCGGTGTCTGTTGCAGGATCGAAGGTGCAAGCAATTCCAAATGACTTTTGCCTGTTAAGTCCAAAAGCATGTGGTTCTAACCAACTGTAAAATTTCAGGTGACAGTTGGACAATGAGGAGGTGATTATGGATTCAAGAAGGAGCGGGGGTTGGGGGGGAATAAGCAAGTGAAAGGAGAAGTTTTGATTTGGAATTGTCACATTCACTCCTTAGAAGTGACCTGCTCTGGGCGTGTAGAAAAAAAGTTCAGACTTTGGATTTCCAGGACCCTTCAAAGGGACATGTGTGCTCAGGAAAGTAAGGATGTTTCAAAATTGTGCTGTATATTTTGAGTAAATCACGGTAAGTTAAATCCCGTACGTGTTTATTGAGTGTGTACTAACTGCATTCTCTGTGTCTCTCCTGAGATTGTAAAGACTAGCGGGGTGTGCAGTCTTTTTTGAGGGAGACTCCCACAAAACTGGGCAGTGCTTTGAAGGGAGCAAGGAGCGGCTCCTTCTGCCTTGTGAGCTGGTGGAGAGGTTTCCCAGAGATGAGGCTTGAGCTAGACCATGTGCAGATGTGGGGCGCAAGGGGTTCGTTCAGAACACAACAGCTTTCCGACGCAGGCAAGAACATGAGCAGAGTTACCAGGTTGGGGAACTCATGACATGTTTGGAAACTGGCTGGTTTGGGTGGCTGGGGAGAAGGTTGTGATCCAACAATGCGAAAGGAGGCTAGGCCCAAATGTAATGATGTAGAAGCTGCTAGTGGCTTTTGAGCAGGGAGAGGGGTGACATATTTGATTGTTGTATAAGGAGAATTCTGGGGACAGTGGGAGTGGGGGTGGATGGCACTGGGAGGGGATTAGACACAGGAGCCCCAGTTCAGTCCTCGGACACAGTTGTGGGGAGAGGTGATGAGAGCTGTATTAGGTGGTCACTCTCTAAGGTGCATCCCGTGGTTCAGGGTTATTTCCTTAAAGAAGATAGCATCTTAGCTGGGTTGTGTCTGGAGGGCTTTCCAGCCCCAGCTCCTAACCCACCGGCCTTTGGCCTTTGCGTGGAGCCCACATGCTCCTCCTCCTGGGGCTCATGTGGTTTTCCTACCCCCAGCCTTAGTCAGATCCAGCGGTCAATGCCATAGGGCCTCCTGACTTCATATGTCAGGGGGCATGGGTTAGTTCTCTGTCCCTGCCAGTGGCTCTTCGTATGTTCCCAGTTTAACCTTCGATATTCAAATACTTAGCTCCAAATATGCGATATGCTTTTTAGACTTTAAATCAGAACTTGTAGTTTATATTATAAAGTTGTTTAGAACTTATGGGCATCAAGATTTTATTCTATTTCAAAATCTTTATTGGTTTTCTCAAAAGGAGTTGCTCTCTTAAGGTGGTTTCTCCAAGTAGTCAAATTTTAGGACAGAATTGTGTTTTTTCTTTTTCTTTTTTTTTAGAGAGGGGAGGGGGGAGGGGAGAGGCAGAGGGAGAGAAAGAATCTTAAGCAGGCTCCATGCTGAGTGTAGAGCCCGTTGTGGGGCTTGATCTTACCACCCTGACATCATCACCTGAGCCGAAATCAAGAGTCAGACGCTTAACTGACTGAGCCACCCAGGCACTCCCAGAATAGTTTTTTTGTTTTGTTTTTAGTATATTCTCCTGGGGCACCTGGCTGGCTCAGTTGGTAGAGCATGTGACTCTTGATCTTGTGGTCATGAGTTTGAGCCCCATGTTGAGGGTAGAGCTTATTTAAAAAAACCACAGGGGCACCTGGGTGGCTCAGTCGGTTAAGTGACCGCCTCTTGATTTTGGCTCAGGTTGTGATGTGGGTCGTGGGATGGAGCCCTGCATCTAGCTCCAGGCTCAGTGTGGAGTCTGCACCTCCCTCTCCCTCTGCTTCTCCCTGCTCTCGCTTTCAAATAAATAAATAAATAAAATCTTTAAACAACAACAACAGCAAAACCAAAACCAAACAAAAAACATATTCTCCAAAAAAGTTTGCATAGACTCCCCCAGAAGTTTATTGTGTTTATTTAAGTCAACTTAAAATTGAATAATATTCACCGACTGATGGGTTGGGATTGATTCATGAGTGCTATGAAGCTTTTTGAAGGAAAGATGCTGATTCATTCAACAACTGGAACACCTCCCACTTTCTAGGGTCTATTCTGGGAACAGAGGTAGAGCATGGGTCAGACAAGAACAAAAGTCCCTGTACTTTCGGAGGTTCCATTCTAGTGGGGCAGCAGACATTTCAAAAATTCGACAAAGAAAGAAGAAGTTCATGGTGTTCCAAGTGCTGTAAAACTTATGCAGGTGATGGGCTCAAGAGTGATGAGGAGAGGTGGGATAATAATCACCATTGATCGGTCATTTATTATTGTCTATGTGCTTTATTTTTATTAACTCATTTTTTTTTTAATTGAAAGATAGTAGGCACACAATGTTACATTAGTTTCAGGTGTAGGACAGAGCGATTCAACAAGTCTGTATGCTTTGCCCTGCTCATCACAAACGCAGCTATAATCTGTCCCCATCCAACACGATTCCCCGGCCATTGACCGAATTCCCTGTGCTGTGCCTCTCATCCCGTATTGGGCCCCTAACCGGAAGCCTGAACCTCCCATCCGCCTCCACCCATTTTGCCCTTACCCCCACCCCCTCCGCTCTGGCAACCACCAGTTTGTAGTCGGTATTCATGGGTCTGTTTCTGCTTTTTGCTTGTTTGTTAATTTGTTTGTTTTGATTCCACATAAAGTGAAATCATGTAGGATTTTGCTTTCTCTGTCTTATTAACTAATCTTTAAGACAGCTATCCCATTTAGGTATC